TGGCTTTTGCTGGCTTCTGGTGGCTTTTACTGGCTTTTGGTGGCTTTTGTTGGCTTCTGTGGGATTTTCGTGGCTTCTGGTGGCTTTTGTTGGCTTCTGGTGGCTTTTAGTGGCTTCTGGTAGCTGTTGCTCGCTTCTGTTGGTTTTTGCTGGCTTCTGTTGGCTTTTGGTGACTTGTGTTGACTTTCGAAGGCTTCTGTTGGCTTTTGTTGCTTTTTGCTTTTGTGGCTGTTCGCTATCCTTGCTTTGCTTATGTGATGCAGGAAGGAAGAAAGGAAGGAGGGAAGGAAGGAAGGAAGGAAGGAAAGAAGGCAGCAAGAAAGGAAGGAAGGAAAGAAGGTGAGCACTTGCAGGTGGCCAGCTTGCAAAGCTGTGCTGCCTGCAGTGGCCAGTGTCGTGAGCACTGTGCTACTGAACCGGAATCATGTAGCAAATGTTCTCTTGTGAGGTCGACGTTCCCGATTGGGACCAGAAAAAAAATCCCAAAAAAAACGAAAAAAAATCCTTTTAAAAAAACGCGGCCCTGATACGGGCTAACCACGCTGATCCCGATTGAGATTGCAAGCTGGGGTCCGGGCAGTGTAATGCAGTGCAATGTAGATGCTTGTTTGTTTCCTCAAGGCTAATTACCAGGATGTTATGGGGCATCCTGCAGACATGTTTACTCATGCTGGTTCTTCTTCATGCACTCTAAGAGAATGGATGCGCCTGAAAGAATGGCGTCCTCCCAAAATCGCGACCACGACATCACCAAACGCATTGAGTTGCGGCGTCCTCCCCAAGGAGGTTTGCCAACGCAGCTTTCCGCTGCAGTTTCAGAAGAAGGCGCCTGAGGGCCGCACCTTAGCCGTGCGCCCCAGCTGCTTGCGCGTCCGCGAGGAGGAGACGGTGGAAGCCCTGCGGAAGCGCAAGGCGACTGCTGGGGGGGTGGCGGGACTTTGTGCCGAGGGGTGGGATCACCGGGAAGTGGGGGGGAGTGGGAAGGTGTTAGGACTTGGTGCTGAAGTCCAATCTCACTCCTGTGAGGGGGAATCTCTTCCGTTCTTGGTGCCGAGCGTGTCGCCGATCCGGAAACACCATGGAAAGGCATCGAAAAACCTGTTTTTGGGGGGGCGCGAGTAAAAACACGAGCGTGAGAGCTGGCCATTCAATTGGCCCTATGTTCATCTATCAATATGGATGCGGCTTGGTTTTGGCACTCAACCACCCCAAGCACCCTGCTGTTGATCCTGCAGCCCTCAGCGGTTTGTGGGTTGCACAATGGCTATGAGGTTCTGGAGTTGGGACATCGCATGTATGACAGTCAAGCATTCTGGCAGGCACCAAAAGCCGGAAGGTGCATCCAAATCGGCTGGTGGATATGGGTTTTAAAGGGCACCTGAAATTCCACAAACACCCTCCCACTCCTGTCATGGGGGTAAAACGGTCTTGGAACTAACGGACGCCTGGCCTTGAAGGGCATGTCCACGTTCCCATGTCCATTCGCCCATGTTAACAAGTACCGTGTTACATTTTCCAGTCTGGCTGCTGGAGTGTTGCTAGGCTACAAGCCCCCCCCCAGTCCGAGAATTCATCGCTGGCTTTCGTTTGATGTTTCTATAGGGAAGTCACCGGTGGGGTCGCATCGCTCGCGCTGCTGCTGGGAGGTGGAGATGCCGCTTGCCGGGACCATTCGCTGAAACTGGGAGCGACAATCAACAGGAGTCACACCTAGTCAAGGAAAAAAGACTGAACATCCAGTCACCTGCGAGTTTTGGAGTGAAACAATTATAAAAGAATGTTTCTGGAGATGTTGGGAGCCATTTCCAGCTGTGGGTCAAACCCAGCGATGTGTGCCATGACCCGGGCCTTTTTGGGGTCGTGAAAAGCCTTCCGGTGTGAACCGTGGTCGTGAGATGGTGCCGCAAATGGGCAGGTCAACCCAGACATACCAAAGCTATCCAAAGCTAACAGAGACTCCTTAAAATCCATTGCTTTGACCTTTCGAACGCATAATTACTGTTTCCAGGTTCCCATCAACCAGTCCTTCCTCTCTGTGTCGCTCTTTTCCACCTGACCCAGCCGAAAACGCACCGTCCCCTGCACCGCGGTTTTTGATGCTTTTTGTGTCCTTTTGTCAACCACCGGGTGCAAAGCAAAAAAAATACACTCTCTCCGAGCTAAACGGACCGTTGACACGGAGGTCGGTGGGCACGGTGCACGCCAAGCCGGAGCTGGACGGCCAATTCGGCCTCCTGGGCGCCTTCCAAGCGCCGCTCGGGCGGAAGTGCGAGACGACCCCGTGGGTCAGACGGCAAGCTGTTGAACCTGTTGGTCGGGGGAGTTCAGCGGTGGGTTCTGCACAGCGGCCCAACAAGACGTGCTGATCACTGCTTGCTGATCATTTTGTATAAGCGAGTCGAAGACGAAGGCCCTCTATCTCCGTGACGCCTCCGCACGGAATTCGCCGTCCGTGCACAGCACCTCACAGCTCCTCACCGGTGGTGTGGACGGTGCATTGGATGAAACCGAAAAACACGTAGGACGGTGGATGACGAACATGGCCCCCAGGCCTTGGAGGTGTAAGACCATTCATAGGGAGGGCGGGGGGCTTTATTCATCAGTCATATCATATCATATCTGTCTAACATAGTCTAACATTGAGGGGATTTGAGGGGCGGGCGTCGTGAAGGGCAGACCAAAGGAGCTAAGGAGCTCAAGTTGATTGAGGTCCACGAACGCTTGGGAGGTGATGCCTGATGCTCGTGGTCTTTGGGATGTGCAGGTGCCGAAACGGCATGAAGTGGTTTGATGGCTTTGGGAGTGAAGATGAGTTGATATTCCATAGTTTACACTGTTTACACGTGTGCCATGTTTCTCCAACAACATGTTCGACTCTATCCAACAAATGAACAGTAGGTCTCCAAGCAGGAGACCATATGCCTGAGCAAAGGTAGAAACGTCACAAAGGGATACAAAAGGTGCGCACTACATGCACATCTATATAGACGTCTATTGATACAATTGTTTGTGCCCTAAAAACGCTGGCCCTCCCTAGGTAAACCCGAGGCAAACCGTAGGTAGACCCACAGCATGGGGGCGAAACAAGCACGTTCACGCTCTTTGGCATTCGAGCAGGACCAATGAATTGATTTCTTGAAGACCATTGAAGGAATATTGAAGGTACATTAGAGGATTTGGTTTTGGGTTCACAAACTTATCTTCATACACCCACAAGAAGAACCAGAAGGAATCACTCAGATTGACTTAGACCACAAGTATACACTCCCGTCTCAACCATTGCCTACATCACATGCGCGTAGACTGATTTATATCGTTGAAGATGTTCTCTCTTGTGGAGAAACATCTTCTCCCCGTGGTCACTCAAGTGCTTGTCAGGCCGCTTCGGCCCCGCAACGGGCCGCTCGATCGGCCATCGACCGGTCCGTCAATGGCCGGCTCGAACCGCAGATCGATGGCTCCGCGGCACCGGTGAAGCTGCGCTCACCGGAGATTTGCGACGAGGTCACCGGTCAAGACCCGGACACCGGTCAGAGCGGACGGACCGGTGGACGGTCCGCATCCGAAGGGAGGAGCTAACAGGAACCGAGGTCCGAGGTCTTGTTTTGGAGTGGGGGAGGACAACATGCAGCATGCAAGGCCTGAATTTCGGATCGACCGTTGGAGTTGTGTTCGTTGTTCCTGTCACCTGTGGCTTAGATAGAACATGTTGTTTGGGCCATAGCCAGCGTACTACTGTGCTGCAAGTGTTCTTGATCGCTGAAAGTAGTGGATCTGAATGATAACATGAGGGCGTTACGCATCGTTTAAAACTCTCCCTTGGCGGGATGTGTGACACGTTTGGAGAGCCAAAAGTACTTGTTACCTCCTTTCATTGAGGTCCTGCTATATGCCTCCAGTGAGGCAAGGCAGATCCATGCAAGGTCCATAATTTGGGGGAGCTACCATTGGTGCACAAAGAAAACTATGCATAGAAACGGGCACATGCTAACTAGCAATCATGACCTTCAGCAACACATGACCCTGCAGGCAGTACATGTGCCTTGAGGTTTTATCCTGGAAGTTCCTACCCAGGCCATGCAAAGTCTTCGCCAGGCAACTGGCAAGGCATTTGTGGATCCTGTTCAGATCGGCGACTGGAAAACGGTGCCAGAAGAAAAAGCCCTTTATGCCAGAGCAACTTGCACTGAGAATAGCATATGGCATATGTCTCAAACCAGCAGGATTTGGTGGGTTTCTCAGCCTACTCAGCCTGTGGCTGGATACGAAACACCGCTCAATCTAGTATAGAAGCGAAAAGCATGAAGGGCTTTGGGGTGAACATCAATGGCACACTGTTTTGTTGGGTGGGGCCTTCTGCTAGACCAGGTTATGACATGTTATGACCATACTCGCTGTTTGGAAAATGGCAACGAAGGAGATTCACCAGTTGTTGCTTTTTCTTCAGGGCGAATTATGGTCGCCGATTGGGCACTATCCAAGTACATAGCACAGCCCAAATCACCGAACATACTGCCTATTATTATGCATCATGCAACAAAGATTGACTAATCCTGTGCGTGTGGGGACTGAAACCTTCAAAAACTATTGGACTCAGGGAGACTGAGGTGGAAGCCGAGGGATACATTGTGGATATGATAGGAATTCAGAAGGATTTGTTTTTGCCAAGAACTAAAATTACATGAAAGCTTCCATGCACTAGCCTTATGATACCTTCCAACTCTTCCATGTTTTGGAGTTGCCAAAGGGGGCACCGTGCTCTTACAGCATGTTTACTCAGTTCCGGCTCATCTTCCAAGAAAAAATGGCTGGTTTGTTCCCTGCAGAGATCCACCACAATTCAACATCCATCAGCTCATCGATTGGGCCGAGACATGCCAGTTGCTGACTGTGGGGGCTGATGGAGGCTAACACTGCATGAGATCATGGAAACACGTGGGTCAAAAGCTTCAAGTGGAATGAAAGTCAATAAAGTAGATGTGACAAGGGTCCTCCTCACTTGGACAAGGTCCTCACTTGGACAGTTTGAATTTAGATACTTGCCCAAAGTTGCTGGAAGACCCTCGTCGCCTCGAAAAACCCTCAGTTTTGGTTTTTTTGCCGGTGTTTGAAGCGCGCTTCCGCCAACAGCTGAGGTGACCCTTCAAGAAGGGGAGGTCATTTTGGAAGACGAGCCCGCCATTTCGGCACCCTTCAGCTTCGACATGCCTCAGCTGAGACTGGTCCGGCAGGTCGACGGGCACGAGCAAGGTAGACTGGGATAGGTTCACCTGCAGATGGCTGCCGTTTCAGAAAAGGGATTGGCATTTGTTAGATGAGTGTCGTGCCCTTGTTTGGGATGTTTTTCTGGGGGAAGGAAGGAAGGAAGGAAGGGAGAAACGTTTGAGAGGAAGACAGGAATGTACGAAACAAAGAAGGTTACAATTTGCAATTCATTCCCTCGGTTGTACGTTTTCTGGGTTTGGTAAAGTGGCCCCTTCCTTCGAGCATGTGACAGTTTTTTTAATTGTTATCCTCGGGCCATTTGTGAGCCGCCCGAGGATGAATTTTGGAGAAAGGAGCCATGAAAACGTGGCATACCTTTGTGACCCGCAGAAGGTAGGCATACCTCGGTGAGAGGTTCAAACGTCTCAGCAGTCCGAGGTTCACAAAGTGCTGAGCTTGCTACAACATCCGCACTTCCAGCCATCCCAGAACCAAGAACAAAAAGAACAAATCAAACACTCAAACGATCTCAAACAAGACAATGAAAATACCAAATATTACTCGGGGCCCGAAAGTGACTTCTAACACAGACGCTTTGCCTGTAGAGTCGCTGGTTGTAGCGCCATGAGAGTCTACCGTGCGGCGTCGCGGAGGTATGTTAATTGTGGGCGGGGTTGCCTGCAATGGATGTTACTGTATTGTATGTTACCTACAGTGGTATTGTAGGTATGTATGTTAAGTGTTATTATGGTAATGCCTGCTTGGTTTCGGCCCTTTCTTCCTTACAATGGATGAGACATGATGAGACATATTTTAGGCCATGCCCCCCGGGATTGAAAGGCCTGTGGAGCACTGCTGGTCACTGCTTTGCCAAGGCAAAAGACTCGCAGTCTCATCATCTAATTAATAAACTGAGTTATGTTTGTTGGCTCCAAGACGGTTGCCCCAAAAACCCTTAGCAACAACAATATAACAATGGCTCTTTGGGATTCAGACCATTAAAGCCCATGGCTCTTCGAATTCCACCACGACACGTGGTCTTGGCCGAGTCGCTCGCCATTTAGGATGAAGCAGTTCAATCAGATGAGTCCAAGTCGACAAGATGTGGCTGGACAGAACAGTCGGGCTCGGCGCAGACGTTGGCGAAAAGTCTTAAGTTGCTCAAGGACAAATTGGGTTTGCATACATTTTTTGGCATGATAAAAAGTTGATCAGTTGCATGATATTGCTTGCATTTTTGGGAAAGGCAGGGTTTGACCCTGACTTGAGACGTGCACCAAAGGTAATTGAAAAGCGATGAAGAAAACGTGTACCCTCACGGTCTGCTTCGAAACCCGGCTCCTTTAGGGAGAGGGATGGTATATCCATTTACAAGTCCATTCCCAGACCATCCATGGGACTGACATACATTGACCATCGACCCCTTTTCAACCACCGCAACTGGACCGGTAAATATGCCAGTCCCATGGAGGGTTTGGGATTCTTCTCGTCACTACAAGGAGGCGCGGCATAGGCATAGGAGAAAATTCGGTTCGTGTTCTCTCGAGTTTCAGCTCTCCAAGGCAATTCTTCAGCTCTCCAAGGCTCGTGGTTCAGTTCGGTCGCCGCCATTTTTTTGCGGGTGCGTGCTTCCTCTAAGGCTTCCAGGCTTCCCCAGATCTTTCGTTCGTTCTGGAGCGGCGCTGGGCTGACCTGTGTGGTGTGGGCTGACCTTGGAAGGCTGAGCGGAAGAGCCCATCGTTTCATTGGAAGTTTCTCGATGAAGAGATGAGGAGAGATGTGCATGCCATATTCAAGAGACTCATTGCCATTAATGTAGACTCTTTATTAATAACCCCTCCATATGAAAAGGATGTCCAATTCAAACGGGGGTGTTTATGAATCAAGAGTCTACATTACTAATCCGATGGGTTTTTAAGTTTGGTCACTTAACTACCACTGGATCAGGGTGGATATGTAAACCTGTAAGCCCCCAATGCTGGCTCACTCTACAAAACATACGTGCTTTATGCCCGATGAGTTGACAGATGTTTGCTGGCTGTCCTTCGATTCTGACATGATGTCTCAAGCCTCATATTAACTGAACCTTTCGCATCCCAGAAATGCTGGTGGCAAAATGTGCGCCAGTCTTGAAGTAATTCATGCTCATCATCACACTTGAAATAAGATATTTATATATATTATGTTATGTGGATTCTAGTGTTGCTGAACTCCCAAACCCCACAAACTCACTACGCGGAGTGTTTTTCATGTTCATGGACGTCTTTTTCGCCTGGGGCTGCCTCCAATTCAGTGTTTGGGTTGAGGGTCAGCCAGCTCTTTGGAGACTGTTGGAGCACAGCGGTGCGAATTGTAAGGATGTCCAGACCCGATCTGGGTGTGTAGCTCCGGGAGATCCACGGTTCGGCGTTCCGAACGACCCCCAGTCTCGGAAGGTTCGGACACTTCTGACCCCGTCGATCCCAGCGAAAGGGCGAGAAGGGGTGATGTTTCCTATGAAAGGACCGTGGCTTCCATCCCTTTTTCACCCAACTATCTCCGCCCCAGCGATGTCACTGCAGGGCCCCGACTTCTTGGCCAGCCTCCGCCGCTTGCGTCCAGAGTCGGGGCATGAGGGGTGTCCAGCCAGCCAAGAAGAGTTACATTGGATGCCAAGAAAATTCTGGAACATATCAAAAGCATTGCAGTCTGGACTCGGTGGGACTCGGTGATGATGTAGGGCGATTGAACCATGCCGATCTCGGCACATCAGAAATGCACAAAAACATCATATATACTCGTTCATTATATGTAGGGTTTGTCCTATTACCTGTAACAGCAAGTAAATAATTATCATTTTGGGACAAGGCCTGTACTAACCATCGTCATCCACTGCATTGCAGTAGAAGGGGTCAAGAAGATCGACGTCCAGCCTCTAAGCACCTAAGCCCCTAAGCGCGTAAGCCCAAGCAAAGCAATGTCAAGCGCCTAAGCCCCTAAGCACCTAAGCCCAAGCAAAGCAATGTCAAGCGCCTGAGCCAACAACAACAACAACAACTACTACTACTACTACTACTACATTCAGCCATTGAGGCTTAGAGGTGTTTGGGGGCTTGGAGGCGCTTAGAGGCGTTTAGAGGCTTAGAGGCGTTTAGAGGCTTAGGGGCGTTTAGAGGCTTAGGTGCGTTTAGAGGCTTCGAGGTGTTTGGAGCCGCTACTACTACTACTACTACTGCTAACACCTACTACTACTACTACTACTGCCACCACCACTACTACTACTACATTGAGGCTTAGAGGCGTTTAGAGGCTTAGAGGCTTAAGAGGCTTAGGGGCGTGTACAGGCTTCGAGGCGTTTGGAGCCTCCACAACAACAACTGCTACTGCTACTACTACTACTATTGCTACTACTACTTCTACTACTACTACTACTTCTTCTTCTGTACTACTACTACTATTACTACTACTACCACTACTACTACTACTACTATTACTACTAGGAGTACTACTACTGCTACTACTACTACTACTACGACTACTACGACTACTACTACGATGACTACTACTACTACTACCACTGCCGACTAACTACTACTACTACTACCACTACTATACTACTACTACTAC